GCCATTTGTCGACTCCGATAATAGGCACAGTGACTAAAATAAAAGCTTTATCATGAGCAAAATACGCTTAATGTGAAGTGGTCACTAAAGTGCAAGCTCGTTTGGAATAAAGAAAAATGAATTTGGGTCAAACATTGCAATGAACACAATAAAGTGCTACTGGATCAATTTCCCAATTGCTCTGATAATCTTTCAAAGCTACCCAACCTGTTCATCCTAGCTATTTTCGCCATATCCTCAATATCCGGTGCCCCATTTGAATAGTAGATTGTGTCCAGTTCCTCGATACTTGTCTCTAAAGAGAAAGTTGAACTGAATGCAATCAAAAAACCCCACTATCCCATTTGTTGTAAACAAAACATGAGTGCTTCTTGCGAAACGAGTGGCAAGCGGCCGTCATTTTCGTTGAATCTTTCAACCGGGTGACTCTGAAAGAAGAGAATTTCAACATATTAAGGCGGCTCTTCTCAAATCAACTTTTTAATAAAAACCAACAAGTCGTTTGTGCAGAGTTGCTCCCGGCCTCCAAGTACCGCACAACGGACACTAAAGATGGAAAAGTTTTCGAGTAAAAATAATTTTCGCACTCACTCTTTGTAAATTGTCCTATTCAACTCGGAGACAACTTGCGCGAGTTGGCTGTGCGTGCGCGAGCAGTAGAAGATTTTTCGCGCCTGCCCATTCCTTTTTGCAATGGTTGGACCTAGAATGAGGAATTGAAGATTTAAAAATTGAATAGATTGAGTAAGAATTAGTTCTCAAATATGCCTTTCAATGAAAAGTTAAAGTTTATCATTTGCAGTTGCGACTAAGAATCTGATTTCACATTTTTTTTACAACATTACCGTGTTTAAAGTTTTTCTCAAGAACTAACCCGTTTCCATGCCGGCCACGTCGTTTAGAGTCACTTTCATTTGATTGCTCCGGAGCCAAGCCAGTGTCGAGCACAGCAACGACAACGTTTTCCCGGTTCCCGTCGGCGATTCAAGGACGGCATCGTGTTTCTGAAAAGAATAAGTTTTCCGGAAAATAGCTTTTTCCAGTTTATGATCAGTCACAAATTGCATATTTCCATTTAAGGTACATCAGCTTAACTTTATAGGTGTTACTGCATTTGAAAGATGACACTTACCGCCTAATTCATGTGTCTCCATTCAAATTCTAGGCTGTTCAAACAAATTTCAGTAAGTCAAAGTGTTCAAAGTGACTCTCGCAAATGAAGTTGCACCTTTTTTAGATAAAAAAACTTCAAAAACTAACCATGTTCAGCGCCCGAATCACACTCCTCATGTAGTCAATTTGTTGGGGGTAGGGCTGGAAGAGGAACGAGATAGCAATACCCTCAACGTCTACTTCATGTTCTCGATGTTGGGCCGATTGTTGATGGACTGCCGATGTCGATGGAAATACTCGATGATTCATCGGAGAGAAGCGGAATCTAAAGAAATAGATTATTATTAATGAAAAGATTTCAGCAAAAATAACTTTTTGAATTTTTTTATTACGAAGCGAAATGAACGGAAGATTTGAACTCGAATGTAGTTTGTTGGGTAAAAAAATTCCATTCAAAATTTTCTTTCGAAAACAGGTGAGAAGCAGCTACAAAAGAAAAGCCGCCAGCAGAATCAAAGCCAATTTCAATTCAATACTAGATCACTGTTTGTGAAAAGCCGTCCTCGCTTTTCAAAAAAATATTCCCACTTTACCACAACTCCAGTATTTCTTGAAGATTACCAAATCTTTACCTGCATTTACCATTTTTTAAAGTAGTGTTAAAACGTTTATCAAGTATAAAAATCAATTACCAACAAGAGATACAAAAGAATAATCAATCCAAAGATGTGGGTGGTGATGATAAAACTCGGAAATAACAAATTAAAAAGATATACCGGTATAACCAATTGCGGAGGAAATGTGTAGTTACAAGGAATCTATATAATTAAGCAAGAAAAAAAAGATACAACTACTGTCAATATGATTAGCAACAAAAGAAGCCATTATAAAACACAAAAAACTTTAGAAGTACTACCAAAGAAGACACGCTTTTTGTTACTCCATCGGTCGGGGGCAGCTCGTTTAGTCGTCGGACAGTGGAGGGTAGTCTAAATTTGAAAAATTCTATAAGAAAAACCTTCCAATTGATATGGTGCCAAAATTTTAGCTAAACTAGGCCAGGTCCAGGTTACACAAGCTGACAAATTTGCAAGACACAATTTGTTCTCAAGTTATGACTTTCCAATTAGTTATCTGAAACTGGTTTAAAAGCATCAGACTCACTTAGATTGCGGAGAAGCATGTTGAGCCAATGTTTTGTCGAACGATCTTCATCCAAGCTTATCTAAATTTAATAAATTGCAAGTAGTCAAGTAAAACAAACCTTGAAGGTGTCATCACGCAATTGATCAGGAAGACATTGTCGCAAAGCTTGACGAGCTCTAAAAAGCACCAAATTAGATAAATTTCTAGCTTAAGACGAAGTACCTTGGATTGTCCGAAAGCCGTGAGTAGCAGCGCACCACGTGTTTCAGCAGTCGAGGCGACGCTTCTTTGGCCAATTTGAGCACCTAAGCTTTGCACTGATCTTTAAACGGTCGCAAAAGACTTACCATCTTTCCCAGAATCATTGCCACATGTGAGAATCTTTCATAGGTTTGACAAATATAAGCCAAACCCGTATCATCCAATAGAATTTTCTAAAGAAATCGACGTTATTCTTTGAACTCAAGTTATGCAACCTGAAGAATGAAGGTGGCGACCGTCTTGCTAAGCTCGGTTCCCTGTTCCATAATGCGCAAACAGAGTGGAATGATCTCCGTCGACAGCAAAAATTGAATTACCTAAAGGCAAAATGCTGCTTGAGCGAAAATGGCATTTACTTCTTTTTCATCGGTTTTCACAAGTGCACCGATCACACCAAGCGAAGTGAGACGAAGATATTCAAATGGACGAGACGTCTTTGTTGTGTGCAGGAATGGGTAGAGAAACAAGGGGATGTGAGCTAAAAAGAATAAATTTTAAAGGTAACGCGACTAGACTAGTTTCACTCTAGTACTAACCCGCAAGGAATGGTCCCCGAGTTTCCTTATGACTTGCGACGCATTGCATCAAAGCGAGAGCGTTACACGTTCGATTCGATTGAGCGGCGGTGAGAGTGGGTGGCATGATGCATGGATAGATTGAAATTACCTAAAAACACTAGTAGGTTTATTGAAACCTAGGTAGCTTTCATCTTTCAACAATTTTTATCACTATTGATTAAAAATTTACTCAGTTACATCTGTGATTATTGCCGGTGCGCTATCAAAGTCTACTTTAAAAGTACCTCTTGCAGGAGGCAAGCCATCGTCCCAAACGAGTGCCACAGCCAGATGGGCAACTCGGGAATCGCATCACGTTTCTTGCTAAAGCAAAATATTGTCAATAATCGATTTTCAAAGAACCTCAGCTCCAAAAGCACTTCTTCGCGGCGCTTTGGATCGCGCAGATCGATGATCAATTGCACGATGTCGTCTCTGTTCACCTAGAAAAAGGAAAATTAAAAATGTTCTCGTCGTTCCTCGGCTTAATCGGCCAACAAAAACGCTTCAAGAGATATTTTCATTTTTAAAATGCGCCCCACTCTATCTACCGTTAAACATAAACGGGAAAACGTTAGGCACAAGTAACCTAGTTTGAAGTTAAACACCAAATACCTCTTCCTCCTTATTAGTCGGTTGCTGCGCGATGTTTGTGGCCGCTTGAAGAGCCGGCGATACTCCATGGTCAGTCATCCCTGAAAAAATGACAATAAAATGGGCAAATTTAGAGAGAAAACAAGAAAAAAAAGGTATTGAACGAAGAAAGGAATGATTCTTAGCGTTTCACGCATATAGGACTCATTTTCACAACTAAAAATCCTACTTCCGACACATTAGCTTGAAAATTCTTCAAAGTTAACGATAAAATGAAGAGATTTATTGGAGGTGACACCCAATAAGAAATTCAGTTTTTTGAAAGAGTCGTGCGCAAACAAAAAAGCAAATGAGCGTGAAAATGCTCTCACTGAAGCAATCCTATTCATTGACGGGGTTCTTTCGGCATTAGGTGCGAAATGGAGCCAAAAGAGAGTCGGTACTAGAAAAATGAGGGCAAATAACAATTAGATGGTGTGAAAAAAATCTGAGGAACATATCAATTCCCTTATATACCATATCAATCCTTTACAAATCGATTTACAACTATTCAATTGAAACTTTGATTTCCCTAATATTATGGTTAAACGAGGCGAATTTGTGTTTTTTATAAACACTGGAAAAGGGAAACAAAAAAAGACATTTTATCGATAGTGAACGAAAAAAAACCGTGTTGTGACCACGAAATGGTCAATTCGTCGTCGACTCATTGCACGTAGCGAGCATCCATATCGTGGAAAAACGCGACAATCGCCGTGAAAACCTCCGGTTTCATCTTTTTCTACCGAGAAAACTTTGCGCAGAGTTTTCTAAAAAAACTCTTTCCAAGTGGGGTAAAGTTTGAAATAATAATTATTCAATAATTAGAGGCAGAACTACTAACATGCGATCACATCGGAGGAAAAAAATTAACTTGATTTCTAAAAATGAATTTCTTAAGTCTACACCAAAACGCAGCAGCTGATTCGATTTGAAATGCAAGTTTGATCTGGAAGGAACACATCATTCGAAATACCAGGAAACTCGGCAAGAGCCTAAATGCCTTAGCCCAAAAAGACTCTGAAATGAAAGGCAAAAAGGGGATTTTTGTGCAGGATACGGTAGCGCATCCACGCTTTAGAAAGCGCCTATCTCTTCAAGCACGTTAATAGGAATCTAACTCCCCATTAACGACAAAAAGTTGCGCAAATAAACTGGCGGAAAGTCGCTTTGAAGATAGTCAGCTAATCAACTGAAATTTACATTTAAACCCCCGTCGCAATTTCGGATATAAAAGTGAATTTCTTTGTTCCTTTTCGATTTCTCAATCAAAAGATCAAAAGAATCGAAATGTTCGCGCGAGTAAACGATCGATTCACGTTGCCGTACAGTGAGAAAATAGTGAGATTTCGGAGATTTGTGCAGGAAAAGACTAAATTTGATGTCATTGACTGCTCAAAATGATGGCAAAGCGTGGTTTTAACAGTAGTTTTTTGTGTTTTTTAGAAATTTTGCCACATTTTCACATAAAGTTTCGCAAAACCGGTTGAATGAGTGAAAAAACCTCGAAAAAGCTTCAGTTAACCAAAAATTTCGCGTGTTTGAACCTTTTTCAACATTTCCAGAGTGAATTTCGTGCAAACGCTAGTTTGCCAACGAATTTCCACGCCTTTCCCCTTTAAATCGTTGCTTCTTTTTCCCAATTTATACATTGAATGTTTAGAAATCGTCTCAATTTGCTTAATTTTAGGCGCTTCGCGGAACGCTGCGCGAATTGTTGACGCGATACACGAAAACAAATGAAAATCGAGTGCTTTCGATTGCGATTCATTTCGACAAAGCTGAGAAAAAGACAGGGTTGGATCTTTTTTTGAAACGTGCACCTATTTTGAGAAATGACGTTAGCTGCACTGACTCTTGGCGGTTTCTTCCCATTATCGGAGGGGGGGGGGGCTAAAATCAGAGACCTCTGCCATGTGTTAGACTTTTTTATCTTTGCGTAGTATCAACGTATCTATTATACTCTAGTAGCACGTTGTCAGGTCCGGGAGGGGGTCAGTCCTGCAAGCTCTCTAAGAATGGCTCAAGTTAAACACAAAAACTAGTGATAATATCTGTAGACAAAGTTATGAACCATGAAATTTTGATTACTGATTCACGCTGACTTCTTTTTCTTTATCCAAACTCACTCATTTAGCTAAGTTTCATAAACAAAAGACAGAAATATACTTTAAAGTTAGAAAGAATCATCCGTAAATTACGATTAGCCTTTATATGTTTTAAAAGTTGCATCTAAAGATTCGTTTTTAGTGCAAAATCGACGGCGATCGAGGGTTTATCGGCTCCCGAAGAATGTGCGGCCACTTTTCGCGCTGAACTTCTCCCGTTGAAGCCATTGAGAGGCGTGGACGAGAACAACGCCGATGACAACTGATCTCAAATGAAGAAAGGTAACGTTGCCCGGTTTTATAAAATCAAAATGATAACTTATACTAGGCAATTGCCAATGAGATTTGCAGGCCGGCTAAAGAGAGCCTCTAAATGCAGGAAAGGTTGACAAATCCTCGTGCTACATTTCATTCAAGAACTTACTGACCTTTTACCGTGATGCAGTGGCTTCTAGGGCTCGCAAAACTTCAAAACTTGGTCACTGACTTTTCCAGCTGTTTAGTGGACTTTGTGGCCTCTATTGGCTTCACGCTTAAAATCTTGGGCCTGAACAAGCCATAAGGCATGCAAAAGTCAAAAATTGACTTTTTGGAACAATAATAACCTTGGTGGCTTCAAATCCTCAGCAGCGTTGCGTTTCAAGAAAACTTCACCCTACTCAAGTTTTGCATTTGGACATTTGCATACGTGGCTGCTTTCCTCTGCTCATATCATTGCCGAAATCATTTCCTATTTTCTATTCGTCGATGAAGTGGTTTTCAAGTCTTTTAAAGGGTGTTCGTAATCGTCTTCCCAGTTCGTCAAAGTGCGCAAAAGGTTGGATGATGAAAAAATCTATCTCTTAGCTTTGACACGTGAGAAAAGCCTCGCTTTTTACAATCAGTTTAATCTTGATAGGGGAACGTCTTGCTTTTTGTTTAGTTAAAAGGGTCCCATTAGTTTGGCTTCATTGTACTTTTGTGATATTTGCGAAAAATGTTTGCCACTAGCCTTTCTCTTGAAGTTTTTTCTACTATTACTAACAACATTATCCCATTGTTCTCTAGATGCTCGCAATTCTCCCGACTCACTCCCCGACAGCTCCGTTTCGGTGACCACCTCCACCTATGTGTCATTTCCGTTGTATCTGCCCGACGAGGAGCCGTTCGAGTTTTATGGAAGATCATCCGACTCAACGTGGTCAACAATCACCCTCTTCGGCGAACAAGTACCCTCGAAGCCGCCACGACGGTTTATTGATCGAGGTTCTGTTTTGTGGGGGGTTAACATTTTTGATCATCAAAAAAACTTTGGAAAGAGTCTTTAAATTTAACAAAATGAACCAACAGATGACATCATTGGCTTTTTTTGGCCTGTGCTCTTCGATTTTCTGAGGCCAGACAAAGCCGGGTCACTCTTTGTGGCTTTGGTCAGGCTTTTAGCTTTTGAACACAGCCTTGGTAAAGATTTTATTTCGAGGTCAGGCTTTTAGCTTTTCGCAGCTCTGGTAAAGATACTCTAAAACGTACTCTTTAGCGCTCAATTTTTGGCAAAATGTTGCATCAGCCCATAGACTTTATTCAAATTGACAGAGAAGACAGAAGCCAGGTCAGCAGGTCCTTCTGACCTTGCCTGCCCTGGCCTGGCCCTCGAAAAGTTCGCCACGAGTCTTGGCTTCTGGGTCTCGACCTCGACAATGCCTTGGCTGGCCTGTTCCTTGCTTACGGGTTCTAGGTTGGAGCATCCCTGCCAACAATTATTTCTTGTTCAATGTTAGTACTTTCCTTTTCAGATGGCGATGTCTACTCGATGCATTCAAGTCGCTCTCGTGAATTGCCAATGGGTGAGAAGTACGCGGTGGAAATGGTGGAGAAGGGGAAGGTGTGTTTTTGCATTCATTTTCATTTAAATTTTTATTAGCTTCAGAGCGGTGTTCGGTTGATTGAAAGACCATTCGGCTATGACACCAAAGTGGATTACGGAGATACGAAGGTTTGTTTGTTTTTTCGAGTGCTAGTGAAAACTGCCGTGCCTAGCTGGTTATTCCAAATCATCCGATGCTCGAATCACCTAGTTTTCAAATTTTAAATAGTGATTCTTGATTTAGTTTGAGAAATCCTGTCTTGTTTAGAGTTTCACCTCAGAAATTGGTCAACATCAGCAGAAAACCGACTCTGAAGAAGCCCCAAAGAGTGATCCGACCGTTCAAAGCACGACCACAAGTCTCATCTGGGAAATCGAGCCGGAAGAAGACGTGGAAGAGTATGTGGGAAAAGAGGTGCACACTGAGGGTGGACGCTTGGATAAGGTGAGCTAGCTGGGGATATTCTTGAATTACCCGGGTTTTTTTGTGAGACGTCGAGTGTTGAAGTCGAGGAGATTTTTGAACTCCACAAAATCCCCTTGAAATATTTCCCTAAAACCAAAAATAAAGCATTTGGTTAAGCCCGCAGAAACCCATCAAAAAGATGGATGAGTCTCTAAATTTAAATGAATATTTTAAGGAGGGGGGTCTCTTTTATGGCTTTAAAATAAAGCTGATGGCATGAAAATAAGTTTGAACCACGTCGGAGGATTTATACTTGGATTTACTTGAACTAGTTACCTAAAACTTTTAAGTTGTTGGGAGATAACCGAAAAGTGAAAGTGTCTTATTGGAAATTTGTTTTCTAATTCCGTTGTCATTGCAGGCATTCACGCAAGGAAGATCGGTTCAAATGGCGGCCGCAGGCAATGGCGGCGTTGATGGAGACGATTCTCGTGTTGTCACGCTTCAAGTCGGCTTCCCGATGGAGAAATGAATGGAAAACTCACGTCTGCTATTTTTTTTTTTATGGAATATCACTCGACGGATTTTTCTTGCGAAATAAATACGAATTTGACATTCTAGCGAATGGAAAGAGATTTTTTAGAACTCGTTAACCGAACATTTTTACATTAAAATTCTATGAAATTCTATGCTATTCTGTGATATGCCAACTGGACCCGGCCAGTCACTACATAGTGCAAAAGTCTGCAAACAAAAGTGCGTTCGTTAAGTCGGAGTTGCGAAATAGGATCGAATTAACAAAGAGTCCGCGTTCTTCGTTTTCCCTCCGTTCCACCGATTTCCCGTTTCCTCAATTTTTATCGCCCATCCCAATCATTTTTTTCTCTTTTCTTGAAGGGTTCAACTCGCAAGCAAAAACGTGACTTCCAAAATCGAAAACAACATCGAACAAAAAGTTAAATGACACTTTATTGCGTTTTTGAAATTCTTGGGGGGAATGTTGCCTTCGAAAATATTTAAAGGCAAAAAAAGACGATGTAAGTCCAGCAACGAAACTTTACTTGACTGAATGATCCGGGAATTCACATTTTGCGGTCTACTTTGAGCTTGAGTCTTGTAAACGCTCGCCTTCTGACGCATCCCAGTTTTTCGATTCTCAGTTTTTCTTTGTAGCAACGACGTAAGAAAATTCAGAGATTCAGTGCGCCAGAAAGGCGTGCGTCTACAGATTTTTGAGAGCACAAAGTACACACAGTCAGCCAAAAGCTTTGACTCACCTGGGCTCGTTCACATTTCGAAATGGTGACCTTAGGAAAGAGCTATCGTACTCCGTGATAACCCTAAACAATCGATTAATTGAGATATTGAGTGGGGTGTATCCAGAATCGATACAGTAACCCCCCAACGCAAGTGCGCCAGAAAGGGAACGCTTGCACACTTTACTGAAAGCGAAAAGCCCGGGGTTGAGCTCGTAATCGTTCGAATTGCTCATTGACTCACCCTCAAAAATGCATCTCATTTCTCTAGTTGACCTCGATCACTTTTCTTTTCTTTCATTTCTTCAATTTCTTCACTTTTCCCCCCTCAATTCCTCTTTTTTTACTATTTCAGCTTGAAACGCGTCTCACTTTTTGTTCCCCAAAGCAAATTGGAAACAATAGAGAAATAAAAGGTCAATGAAAAGCTTTTTTTTTCTTTCGTTTTTTCGCACAGTGAAAAAGAACAATTGCTTTGTCATCGTCGCTGTCGTCGTTTTCGTCGTCGATGAAAAGCGATCAGTATAGTTTTTTGAAAGTTCTAAAGAAATGAATGCAACTTTACTAATCGTAATAGTTGAAAGTCGAATCCGGAATTGGGGTAAACGGCAGCACTTGATTTAGGTTCAGATTCAGGTTTTCTTTCAAATTTCTACCTTTCACCGAAAGGGTACACTTTCCTTTCACCGAAAGGGTACACTCAGTAAAGTTTCTGGCACAATGGCACTGTAGGCTGGATAAAGAAACTTTCTGGTAGAATAAACAGTAACTCTTTAGTCAAATAAACCTTAGCTGGATGTCACAGAAGATTTTTGCAAAGCTGGAGAAAGCGTGGGACAACATTCTTCAATATATCAAAAATTCGATCCTCTACAAAACCTTGTGTACTTTATTTAAGAGAAATCCGGGGAGATAAGCAAAATTTTGTTGAGTTTAAGGCCTCAATCAATCCCTCATTTGGCCTAAACCTTTGAAACTCTAGAGAACTCAAGAAAAAACAGGATGGGACAATGTAGGAGAGACAATATCGGAGGAGAAAGCTATTGGGTTTAGATGAGCTTTCGCTTTAGACAAGTTTACCCATTCGGATCCCTGATTATTTCAATCCCGTGGAGAAGGGGCTTAGTGGGCTTAGGCTTAGGTAATTGACAACCAGTTCACCATATGAATGGTGAACTGGTTGGTCAATTAACGTTGCTTGACTTGACCGATCTAACGGGATACCGTGTTTCAACGTGGCGCGGCTGCAGGCTTTGAAAGCTGTAGGCTGTATGAGCTTTCGCTTTAGACAAATCTACCCATTCGGATCCCTGGTTATCCCAAATTACCCTAGCTTTACCTCATAAGAAATCGTTTTTTCAATCAATAGTCAATAGACCTGATAAAGTAACTTTCTAGTACAGTAAACAGTAACCCTTTTAGTCAAATAAAAAAGAAAGAAGAGAGAACTCAAGAAAAAGTATAAAATTATGGTGTTTGGTGGGTGGTTCCGCCCTTTCTCGCGTCAATGTCAGCGTTTGATGATGACCACACAAAAAGATGGGATCAGCGTAGAAAACGAGAGGCGTCGCCCCGTCACTTTCATTTCACTAACCGCCTCGACTATTGCCAGCTTTCGAGCTGCTTTCCAGAGTCGCCGACTCTTGAAAATCGTTTCACTGATCATCGTTTTTTCGCCGCCTCAAATTGCTCAATCAAGCTCAATCGCTCGTTCGACTTTGTGCGCAAACAAACGCGCGCGCTTCCGTTCGCTCTTTT